ATATAAGATAATAACATTAAAGACAAAATTAAATTGCAATACTTTTTCAAAACTTGATGATTTTACCTTTCTGTACATTTTGTATACAAATTCATTAAATAATTTTGCTTGTAAATGTCTATTTGCATCACGTTTATTACGGAAAACACATTATTTGATCAATTTACATTGTGCCCCTAAAGTTCTTTGTGCGCTCCTTACTTTTTCAACTTAGGAGCACATGTGCTCCTTGGGAAAAAAGTTAGCGTCAAGCCCTGTAGTAGATGCTAATAAATAACACTTCGAGCTATCGCTGTGAAATTGGTATGTCAAGTTGGCCCCTGTTCTCCATCCATGACCAAATCCACATTCTCCTCCTCGCCTCCGTCAGACTTTTTCGACACACATAGATGCCACTACAGCAAGAGCGCAGTGTTTGTTTTCATTTTTCTCTTACCACTTGTGTACTGACTTAAATGAGCGTATGTCATAGCCTGCAATCCCGTAGGTGCTGTCATTGAACAATCTGCATGCATCAAACTTGATGCTGTACCCATGTTGAGAAGATCCATGTCGCACAGTGTAGCTGCACTAAACTTAAGATTGCTAAAATCTCACAGTCTGTAGGAGGCTTAAGAGCAGTGGGTAGCCACAACCTTCAGCAAGACTCTGAATGCCTACTAGCTTCAGGGGGATTTTACAGTAACCTGGGAAACATGATAGTATAATACAAAATATGTCCATATTTCCAGCCCTGGATTAAACTTTTAAAGAAAAATTCTGGCAAACCAGCCTTTAAACAATACCTGTGTTTCAACCAACCAGCAAAGACATTCTTTAACCCAACATTATTCATCAACGCTGAACATATCAAAACGAGTTACCAATGTTAAAAACATGCAGCACATCAGTGAAGGTGATGCTGTTGTCCTGCCTCCTGTCAAACATCGGTAGAGTTGCTCTAATGTTCTCAAAACACAAGATCAGCCAGGCAACTATTCAAAACATTGTTAAAAATGTTTGACTCTCTTGTTGTCAACTATTAAATTGACCTAGGGATGCACGATACTGGATTTTTTTTGCCCAAATCCGATATATAACAACTTATTTGATAAATCCACTTTTTTCCACACCTAATTTTAATGATCATCAATTCTCTTCTGTAGTGGAATTAACATCATGTTATACATACTCTTATGATGACGGCCCACCAGCAGATGGAGACATGAAATACAACGCTTTTCAATGTATGTAATATTCATTTGTGCATCCCTAAATTGATCGCCAACTAATTTGATAATCAATCAGTCTGGGTAATTTATTTTAAGAAAAAAGAAAAGTCTAAGTTCTCTGATTCCAGCTTCTTAAATGTGAGTATTTTCTGGTTTCTTTCCTCTTCTACAATAGTAAACGGAATATTTTTGGGTTGTGGACAAAACAAGACATTTGAGGACATCATGTTGGGCTTTAGAACACAGTGATCAACATTTTTCACCATTTTCTGACATTTAATAGATCAAACAAGTAATCAACTAATACAAACAATAATTGACAGATTAATCGACTATGAATGTAATCATTAGTTGCAGCCCTACTCTCTACTTGATGTAATTTAAGTCAATATGTTTGATCAATTTATTCATACACAGTGCCGCCTACCTCTGTAATACAGGCCAGACAGACATATTGGCCAATACCAGCTTATAGCCCATATTGTTATTGTGTATTTGCTGCCCGATAAGTAACAAGAAATTTATTCATTCATTTCCCATAACCACTTATCCTGTTAGGGGTCACAGGAGGGCTGGAGCCTCTCATTTGACATTGGGTGAGATGCGGGGTACATTCTGGACAGGTCGCCAGTCTATCGCAGGGCTGACACATAGAGACAGACCACCATTCACACTCCCACTCACACCTGCATCTACAACTTAAAGTCACCAATTAACCTAGCATGTCTGGCCTGTGATTGTATTACCTTTCTCCTTCAGCAGCTCTCTCCATCTGGGAAAGGCAACCCCAATGCTGACCCTTGTTTTTTTAATTCGCCGGTCACGCTGCCTTTTTGATTCCCTTTTGCACTTTCTTGGCGACAAGGATTCCGTCTCCCGTGATGCTGCATAATATATGATTCTGCATTATGCTCAAAGAGTGGGACTTTGTTATGTGACAGTAGTGCCGCTGGCCACTAACAGCTGTTAGTGGCACAGTAATGCCTGGAGAGGGATGAGGTGTGTGAGGTTGAGCCACTTGTCAGTTGTCAAAGGACAAGACGTGATTGGTTTGTTTCAATTTACATCCGCCCCAACAGTCCTACGTTGTAAACACAGCCAGCATGGTGAGGAGGGGGTTTGTCAACTCGTGTCGCGTGTGTCTGTGTAGGAGCCTGAATGAATACTCCATGTAGTATCGGATGACATGGTTTCATCAGTGTTATCATAGCTTTTTGGTACACAGCGGCTACAGTTGTTGCAATACATGTTTGAAACAGTGAGGCGCTAGAGTGCGCCATCTGTTTGAATGCAATATATGATTTCAACGTTAGATGGGAGAAATTCCTACACACTGTGGCTTTAAAGCACAGACCCAAATTGGAGTTAACTGAGCATGTCCTCCGTCTGTCTTGCTATCTGTTTCTCATTTAACTGATCAACTGATGCAATATTTACTAAACATCAAAGCTGATAAAGATAGGAATTCTGTGTTTTAGCTTTACAGCTTCTCTTACATGTTGAGTTCAACCAAATCACAAATTTTCTCACAAACCACTATCAAGCTTGCACACATGTTTGGTTTGATCTGCCCACATTTTAAGATATCCATCTCTGAATGTTGGACCACCAATACAAAGCTGCTTGTCGTACAATATGCTTGTCGAAGTTTTAAAATAACATTTACATTTACAATTACATTTGGAAAAACTCAACAGCTACGTGTCTTTCCATAAAAGTCAACCGGCAGAGCACTTTTATGGGATTATGGGACTTTAAATTAAAAGTAGTTCCAATGAAAACTGTTAGTGGTGAGGTCTGTGGTGTGGCAGCAGAGATCTAAGATATGAATATGTCAAACTAAGAAAATAAAAGCATCTGCATGGCTTGATACTATCAGAGATTTGTGAGCGAATGTGTTTAGTGATGTGGAAGAACCCCCTAAAAGGTTCAGTGCGTAGGATTTGGGGGGACAAAATGGCAGAAAGATAATATAATACAATGTATTCTTTAGTGTACAGTCACCTGAAAATGAGAACTGTCATGTTTTTGTTACCTTAGAATGGGCTGTTTATACCTTCGGGTCCTTGTTTATGGAGATCACCATGCCAACCCTAACCCTACCTAACCCTGCCAGAGCCAGGCAAGTCAATAAACTCCTCCTAAATTAACAAGGTTTAAAGAATGTTATATGGATTAAAACCCCTAACCAAACCCAGACTTCTACAGTAGTCCAGGATGGAGAAACCAAACACTGGCTCTGAATAGGGCCCCTCTTGTTTTCATGTTGGCCACTGTAGATAGAAGCCTATCTGCCACCACAGACTTTTTAACGTGAAACTGCTTCATTCAGGGGGTTTTATTGGTTAAAATCCCCACGTCTGTTTGTTTTGGAGAGGAAGAGAACTCTGCAGTAACTGAGCACCGAGTAAAAATTTACTGAAAGTCTGGATCTTAAGTCATCAGAGTGAAAACGTCAGCACACACTGGCATGTGGTAGGCACCTGTCTCCAACATGCCAAATAACGTTGAAGATACACTGATTTGTAACGTGAAACTGCTTGATTCACTGTTGTTGTTGTCCCTGCACCTTTGTGGACAATTTGGCTTGTGGTAAAAACCTAATGGACATCTGGATTAGAAACAAGGTGAGCACACATTCAGTTATCAGAGAAAAAGGGTGAGCAATGTCGTGGGCAAGCCTCTCCTCTCCAGCATGCCAAACAGCATCAGATAAATATTGTTTTGTAACATGAAACTGCTTTATTCAGTGTTTCTACCTCTTTAAATCACCCAGTCTATTTGTTTTGGGGAGGAAAAGACTATAAAAAAAACCTGAACAATGAGATATTGTAACCAGAAGAAGATTCCATTGGTTGCAATTTGCACTAAATCCCCATAGACTTCACCTTGAAGAAGTCTAACTATCTGTAGAGCTCCCAGACAAAAGAATTCAGGTAAACTTGATATATTAATTCCATTTCTGTGCATCATGTCGTATCATTCTCAACATTGATCGTTTAGTCGTCAGTAAAACAGCACAGCCTACAGTATGTCATCCATGTTGTATGACAAATATATTATGTTTTTCGCAATGTGTTCCTTAATTATCTAAATACAAACTAACACAGAAATGTACTAAGGGTAACCTTCGTAAATGTTACCTGAAACACGCATTCACCAAGTCTGACCTGTGGCGCTTTGCTTGACGGCCGCAAAGGTAAACACAACAGAACACTTGACATACTTTCTGCACTCCCACCCACTGCGCCATTCGTCGTGTACAAAATTCAAAACCAAGTACTTGCTTTTATAAAATGTCATTATAAGCCATTATGTGCGTGCTACTACCATGACCTTCTTTCGGCTTCTTTCACCTAACTCAAGCAGGTAAATTGAACGATAGTCAGCATAACGTTCTGTTTTTCTCTGTAACAGCAGACCTAGCTCGAGTTTTGTTGTTAACCTACTGTAACAGTTGTTTAACAGTTAACGTTAGTATTTCATGTTTATACCGAATATACCAGAGCACAATTCAGTTACTGATTTCATACAGAAATGCTCTTCTTCTCGGCGGGGATAACGTTAGCATTACAATACAACATTAATTTGATGCATTCTTCTACGGGGTTTGGCATAGCATTCTCTCCATTTTAAGCTAGCGTTAGCTTACTGACGTGGAGTGGAGGCCCGAGCCCGAACTCCAAGCGCTACACATATATAAGGCAAGGAATGACACAAATGGCGACCTGATAGATTGTCTTTACATAATGCGTCATGTACAGCTTGCGTTTAATAAAAAGTAGCGTGCAACAGATAAAGTTAAATCACAAACCTCCATCGGTTGATCCCCACGTTAGCGGCGCCAGCAAACCACGGGTCCAAGATATAAACACAGCGCACTGTGTCTGCTCCATTAAGGGCCTCCTGCAACACCGGATTATCGTGCAAACGCAGACCTTTGCGAAACCAGTGCACTGAATTCACCACCATGCTGACTTCTTATTCCATCATTAAAGAAGAATCCAGAAGTATCGGTCGAAATGAAGCCAAAAATGCGCTGGTTTAAAGGCTAAAACAGTCACAGTTCAGTAGACTCCCGACAAACTTCATTTGCTGTCAAACGAAAGGCAACACGGAGGGGGCGTGGCCTGAGCGCTGTGCGAGTGGTGTTATTATCCCTGTTTCTGTTCGCTGATTGGGCAAACGGGAAAACGTCAACATGAATTACAAAACGGAACAACTTTGATTGGTTTATTGGCAAATGGTAGCGACAGAGCCCTTGGTGAAGAGCTGTGTCACGTTTCCGATTGGGAGCAGTCAGAGCCGTCTGCTCTACGGCTCTGGGAGCAGTGTCATACCACGTCCCACACGAGTCGAGCTACAATGTAGGTTATTCAGTTCAGTTTTTACATGAACATATTTAAACAAAGCAGCCTCTAGATATTTAACGGTCTTAGAGCTTCTGGTGAAGAACAATGATTTGCTCTTAGCTCAATTCTTGCAAAACCCAACAGTAGAAAATTATATAATTATACAAAAATTAACTCACCCATCACATTATAGTCTCTACAGTGTATGCAAGTTAGAAGTTAGGCTACCATCTAGACTGAAGTAAGTCATCAGGACTGTGAATGTAGCACTTTCTGTAATTTAGACTTCAACACTGCATAAGATAAGATAGAGATAAGATACACCTTTATTGATCCCATAACTGAGAAATTCCAGTGTTACAGCAGTTAAGGGGAAAGAGTCAGATTAAAGATTTCAAAATTTAAACTTAAAAACTTAAAACTTAAAAAACTAGCAGCAGTGAACAAAAATGAGCAGTGGATAAAGGGAGCACATCTAGTGCAAGTGACTGTATGTGCAAAACAGCAGACAGCTGTGGTGTCCATAAAGTGTCAATAAAGTGTCCATGGTGCAGTTTACTGTGAGCAGTGCTGGTTATGTAGTCTGACAGCAGCAGGCAGGAAGGACCTGCGATAGCGTTCCTTCACACACTTTAGGTGAATCAGTTTATCACTGAAGGAGTTCTCCAGAGCTTTTATCTCCTCCTGCAGAGGATGGGAGTCATTAGTCCTCAGAGAGCATCCCACGATAGAGCTGGCCTTCTTGATCAGCTTGCATCTTAGGCTCAGTTAAGGTACTCCATGTAAGAAGGCTTTGAAGAAAAAAAATCTATGATTGAGCAACCAAGCCTAGATACCTCCATGCAGCTTAAAAAAACAACAACCTGCATAACAAATTTGAATTGGATCTAGCTCAACTGATCATGTCCCCTGTTTGTTTTGCTGGCCATTATTCTCATTTAACTGATATTAGTAAGTAATCCTGTGTTTTAGCTGAGCAGATTCCCATCAGCAGTGGTACACAATTTATGGCCCTCTGGCTCACAATAGGGAGCCAGGTGGCCCACCAATCATTTTCTAATTACAATGAAAATAAATTGATTCACTTTTTTTAGGGACTTGGGTGAATGGGTGCAAAAAAGGTATCAAAACAAAGCTTGTTTATTTATGTGAACCTTTGTCATAATTAGCATATCAATTCTTGAGCTATGGCCAAAATCATGTTTTATGAGCCGGTCACCTTCGACCTTGGACCACCAAATTCTAATCAGTTCATTGTTGAGTCCAAGTGGACGTTTGTGCCAAATTTGAGGAAATTCCCTCAAAGTGTTCTTGAAATATTGCCTTCATGAGAATGAGATGGATGCAAGGTCACATTGACCTTGACATTTGACCTTTGGCCACCAAAATCTAATCAGTTGATTGTTGTGTCCCAGTGGACATTAGTGCCAGCTTTGAAGAAATTCCCTCAAGGTATTCTTGAGACATCGTATTTACAAGAATGGGACACACAGGAGGGATGGACAGACGGATGGACAGCCCAAAAACATTTTGCCGGTTTGTTTCGCTTAGGGATGCACCGAAATGAAAATTTGTGGCCGAAGCTGAATAAAATTAAATGCTTGGCCAAATACCGAGTACCGAGTACTGAATACCGTTGTTTAGTTTTTCATTAGTTTTTGCAGATGAACCCTCTCCAGATTAGTGTTGTCACGGTACCAAAATTGGGACCCACGGTACGATACCAGTGAAAATATCATGGTTCTGAGTAGTATCACGATACCACAGCAAAAATTAGGCAGATGTGCCTTTTGTCATTTATAAAAAGATAAATCAATTTCTATAATACATCAATGATATTTCGAAGGAATAAATTACTTATTGACTTATTCATTCTTCAAAAACAGCATCAATGAGTGATTAACATAGGGGGGGATCAAAATAAAACAAAAACATAAAATAAAAATCAACCAGCCACCCTCCTCCCCTGACAAGTAAAGAACAGTCCCTTCATAAGTAAAGAACAGTCCCTAAAGTGCGGAGAGGTTTGTGGACCGTTACTGCCAGAAAGAGAGAAATGTGAATGGCTCGTTTCTCCTCTGACACGGCTTGGCTGTCCAGGTTCTTTTGGGTAGTCATGACGCCAAGAATAGGATATTATTGGAGCCGAATTCTCCGTCGCCGGGTAAGCCGATGGCCGCCGTATTTGACAGGAATATATTCCTGTCCATGTCTGTGACCCCGTTCAACCCACAACCAGCGGGATTCGCCTTTCGTTTCTGCTGCTGGTTGAAATCTGTAGGCTGCTCGCACAGCGTGCTGAATGATTTATTTTGCTCGAACAAAACTTTTTTTAGTCGCAAATGCGAGTGCTGTGATGGACGGAGTAATATATCGCCACACTGCCGACATTTTACTCCGTCTGTCACCGCACGCTGTTTGATTGCGTTATCAAAACACGCTGCTATTATTCGGCCTTGCTTTTCACTTATTCCACCGAATACCGAATGTGTGTTTATTTGCAATATTCGGCCGAATATATTCGGTGCATCCCTAGTTTCGCTCACTAACTAATCCTGCATCTTGAAATGAGCCCTTTAGTCTTTTAATTCTTCAACTGCAATTTACCATACAGATTATATACAGGTCACTCAACTACACACGTAGGTGTGTACGATGTTCCGGTATTATTTATCATAATCCCAAAGGAAAATTTTGCTGCTCACGATAGTTGTTTCTTTGTCTCATCATATCAGCTTCTTATTTGGAGATGACTAAATTCTGATCTGTTTCTCCTAAATCCCCCCTCAGGAGAAAGAAGGAAAAGAATAAATCAGCAGGAGTTATTTTGCTGTGCTCATAGACTTCGTGAAGGTTTCGCAGCTCTGAGAACATATAAAAAACATAGAGTTCAGACTTGAATTTGATCACTGAGACAAATTCCTGAAATTGTGCCAGCTCATTTATAAGCCAAGTCAAGTTTCCTTTAAGATCTTACTGTTATCTAAAGAGCTGATTATTTGAGACAAATAGATTACTGCAGTGAGAGAAGAAAATGAGCATATTTAGATCCTAAACGAGGATCAGGCTGAGACAAGAGCAAGGCTTTTTTTTTAAATTTAAGAAGTATGAGAAAATGGTCAAATCTCATAATGATGTTATATTAATCTCAGTTATGTCTAGGACAAATAGGCTGGACAACGAAGAGATCTTGTTATGACTTTTTTCCTTTAGGATGGTATAATGTATCATATTGCAATTATATATTTGTATCCTTCTAGTCCATTGAATGTTACTGTAACTCAGGGCATTGCTGTAAAAGTGCTTAATGCTCAGACAATTTTCCCTGAATAAACAATGGTTGATGATGATTAGTGTTGGGAAGATTACTTTTGAAATATATAATAAGTTACAGATTACCAGTTAAAATGTAATGAGTAATGTAACTATTCTAATTTATTCATCAAAACAATGTAACTTATTATATTTGATTAACAAATGTTGCAAATGTAACAACTGTGCAATAAAGCTGAACAATTTCCAGAAATAAGTTATGCCAAGAGGAGGTATTGCTGCAAGGCAAAAAGATGCAAAGCAATAAAATAAATGTTATATTCTACATATTAACTTTTTACTAAAGAGAATATGTTCGGATGTAACCCCTTTGTAATCACCAACCTTTTGACTGGTAACTGTGATTTAACTACATATTTTCCCCAGTAACTGTAAGTGATTATAGTTACAATTATTTGTAATTTAATTACATGAAACAAGTTATGTAACTAGTTACTCCCCAATATTGATTATACATGTATACATTATACAATGATACATGAGACATTTTGAGACATTTATGTAATTGCAACTTGGCGAAATGTAGCTGGGTCATGGGAGTTTGCCCATACAGTCTACATGTGCTTTGTGGACTCCAAGAAGGCTTACGATTACCTCCCATGGGGAGTCTTCTGGGGGGTACTGCGGGAATACTGGGTACCAGGGTCACTGCAACAAGCTATCTGGTCCTTGTATAACCAAAATGAGAGCTGTGTCCGCATGCTTGGCACAAAGTCAAACACGTTTTCAGTGTGTGCTGGGCTCTGTCAGGGTTGTCCCTTGTCACCGATTCTGTTTGTGATATTCATGGACAGGATCTCAAGGCTCAACGGGGGGGAGGAAGGGGTCCGGTTTGGGGACCTCTGGATTGCACCTCTGCTCTTTGCAGATGATGTGGTTCTGTTGGCTTCATCACACCATGACCTCCAGCATGCACTGGAGCAGTTTGCAGTGGAGTGTCAAGCTGTCAGGATGATAGCCAGCACCTTCAATTCTGAGGACATGGTTCTCTGCTGGAAAACGGTAAGTTTCCCCCTCTGGTTTGGGAGTGAGTTACTGCGCCAAGCAAGGGAGTTCAAGTATCTCGGGGTCTTGTTCATAAGTGAGGGTAAAATGAAGCAGGATATAGACTGACGGTCTGGTGCAGCGTGTGCAGTGATGCTGGCACTGTGCCAGACTGACATGGTGCAGAGAGAGCTGGGCCAGAAGGCAAAGCTTTCGATTTACTGGTCCATCTATGTCCCATCCCTCACCTACGGTCATGAGCCATGTAGTGACCAAAACAATGAGGTCGTGGATACAAATGAAAAGAGTTTCCTCAGAAGGGTGGCTGGGCTCGGCCTTAGAGATAGGGTAAGGAGTTTGGACATCCTGAGGGAGCTCGGAGGTGGCTTGGGCATCTGATCAGGATGCCTCCTTGGTGCCTCCTGCTGGAGGTGTACCA